GCATGGGTTTTTTTTCGGCCCCCAATACCCCGGCACCCTTACTGAGTCTACGTACAGGAAGCAGCCTTCCCGCGGCACCAAAAAGTCGTTTGTTAACTGGCCTGTATCGCCCACTGGCAGAAACACGTTTTGCCCAGGTTAACCTGGCCTATCCTGTGCCACGCTGTTTCAGACGTCTGACCAGCATGGCAGAGTAGGCCAATTGCCCTCTAGATGGGCCCTCTAGAACCCACTCTATTGGTGATCCTCCAGCATTGGCAAGAGCGAGACATTTCAGGGCTGCATGCACCCGCACCTTTTACATTTGGAAACTGGGTTCATGCGGAAGGGCTGTGTTTTTGGTCCAACAGACTGAAAATGCATTATAAAAGTAAATACTTATACTATCCAGTATTGTTGCTTGGGATAGCTTATATATTTAAGAAAATGTCGTTTTCCTCTGGCAGCAAGGGACGTATGTGGAGGGGACAGCGAGAGGTGGGGGGGCATCCATGGAGATATGTGGCTCGTGAAACGTTGGGACAGGATCTAAGCTGTGCTGGAATGGTTTAGGACCATTCCTAGGCTAATGAGCCAGTTTGCTCAGTGGTTGTGGGAACATGGCATAACAATACTAGGTATAATATGTCTTCTGCTACAAATGTACTGCTGTGTGTGTGTTTACACCAATACCAAAGCTGGACTGAATTATGTCAACGCCGCAAGGCTAGAAAGCGTATCACAGTCATGGTGGATTTAGTGAGACTACGAGACATGTATTGGTCGAAATTTGTATTTCATGCATTCACTAATATTTTACCATCACATTTATTAGTTTGTTAATTCCAATAGCAAACCTTCAAAACTTAAGATGTGTTTTTTTTTAATATAAAGCCATATCCCAAACTTCATTGCAATACTACATTTGGTGAATCCACTTTCAGTTGTGATGCTCCTCAGAAGGAAAATAACAATGCACAAGGGCTGCATTCATCACATATGCACTCATCAATACACTCTTGGGTTCTTTACTCAGTATTAATGCAGTTCTTTTAAAAATATAGATTTTCTAGAGTACTTTCATTTATCTGTAAGTTTTTTTTCCATGATTACCAAGTCGTGGCATAGCCAACACAGTAGAGTGTAGCATACTGTCGACGAAGCTCGAATATTCTAACTCACTACAGGATGTCTGGCAAAACATTACCAAGCTGTAGCGTGTACAATTTTTTTTGGCACGTGTCGTGATGGTCACTACAAGATCCGACCATGTCCATTCAGTGCTCGCTGAGCTGCATCGGTGTCCGGTTGCCGAACGAATACATTTATAAGGACACACTCATCTTCTTGGTTATTTCGGTAAAGTCACGTAGAATGGAAACAAAGTAATACAAATAAAACATAATAAAATAATATAAAATTCTCACGACGTTTCGGCCACAACACACGTAGCCTTCTTCAGGTGAAGGAACAGAACTGTCGGGACGACAGCGCTTCAATGAACGCTGCTAAGATTCGTAGCGTCTTTTAAGTTAGGTGAGAGAAGTGAAGCACCTTGACAAAGGAGTTTACATATCAAACAGGATAATTTAGCATTGAAATAGCTGAGGGATTAGCTTGTGACTGGTCACAGAAATAGCTATGTTCCTTCACCTGAAGAAGGCTACTTGTGTTGTGGCCGAAACGTCATGATAATTTTATATTATTTTATTTTATTATGTTTCATTTTTATTACTTTGTTTCCATTCTACGTGACTTTACCGAAAGAACCAAGAAGATGAATCCCTGCAGTCACGAAAGCTTTAAATCGAAAAGGACACACTCATTACACACGTAGTGCTTGCCACAAAAACTTCAGTCATCTTCGCAGCGGCTTTTGGTGAATTATCGAACAAAGATTGTCACTGCATCGCACACTTTCAGATGCGCTTCTGTGGCCATCTGGAACGCTCTTTCTTCCAATATTAGGCAGCTACTGTAGCTATCTACTTTTAATTCTAGATTGAAAATTCATTTCTTCAGAATTTATTTTTCTGTTTAGTTTGTTGTACTTCCCCACACCTCCGATTAGCAAGTTCAACATACATACATACATGCTCGCTATTAATCTTGTGTGAACTGTTGTTACATGGTCTAAATGTGCACCGATCCACTCTGGTTTTTGGTTGTCCGTTTTGTAGTTGTGGTTTGTTTTGTCCAACCCAGACCTACTTTTAATCATAGGTTTGTAGTTTAAATTGACTCACCTGATTATAGATGCTTTCCTGTCCATGTTCTTTTATATATAATCCTGGGTGATTTACTTTTCAACTTCAAAACGTAACTCAAAACCCAAAATCTCATGTGTCTTTAATGAAAGGTTTGCTATTACAAACTTGAAAAGGGCATGTTACTGTGTTTTCATTTGCCAAGGAAATAACTTTTAGTGCACAGTGTGCATAAATACCAGCTTTTAATAAGCAGACAAGCACATATGAACAAATTCAGGACAGATTAAACCTCTTGGAAATGTTATAATGGCGTTATAAATACCAAATATTACCTTGAACCATCTACGTGACTATTAAAAGACCCAAAGACTATGTTTAAAACATTTTTTAATATATTACACATGTTAAAATATACAATATTCCTCCATTCCTGCTGAAGAACAGTTTGGCGCACATGACAGCACTCCAGTGTGAATGCGGTAAGAAAGCTGCACAGAAAGCCAGAGGTTTGTTTGCTAGAATCCATCCCTGTGTCCACTCGAGTGTGAATATTTCAGCAATGATTTCGGAGTACAAAGTCATTTCCTGAGGAAGAGTAGCAGCATAAATGTTTAACTCATTAATTTTTTTCTTATTTCTTCCCATTACAGTAAAAAAACCCTGTATCCATCATTTGAGACACGATCTTGGTTTTGTGACATTTTTCTCTCTTATGCGGTCATCGTGAATGACCGGGAGGTATTATCGGTGGTCATTCTCAGTATAAGTATTATATTAAGGACATATAACAATAGTAAGTCCCACTCATTATTCACCCAGACATTTTCATGTATGTATTTTTTATTATTATTTTAGGCTGAGTTAACCAATGAGGAATAAAGCCTGGTTCACCCACCGCTTGCCACCGGTTAGATTTATCCAGATATGAAAGCTGTGTCATCAGGTGCATAATTCAAGAGTGCTACCACTCCACCACTGTGGCTATATCTACACGCAATGGCAACAAACAAACCCAATTTCTCCCATTTAGTTTCATAGACTGTTGAATAAGTGCTGTTAACATTAACCTAGTATATTCTTGGTTCTTTCGGTAAAGTCACGTTGAAGGGAAACAATAAAATAATAAAATGTATATTTTAGAATATGAATCACTGCAGTCACAAAAGCTTTAAATAAAAAAAATAACCTAGTAAATTGACATCGGAGAGGTCCAGGAAATATTCAGGTACTAATTTCCATTGGGTATGCATTGCTAAGAATAAAACTCATGTTACTGGGACTTTCCCAATAATTGCACACATGCTGTAAAACGCAGACTTTGTTATGCAAACTTTGCTATGATAATGCAGTGACTATCTCCAATTGTGCATTTTCATAATGTTCACCCCCATGACATCACAGCTGGAGTTTATAAAGTTCACGTGAACTTTACTTCCCGTCGAGTAATTTTATTGACTCTGCAAGATGAACTATGCCCGCACGATGCTTAACTCAACGGTGGAGTTAGAAGGAGTGTCAGAGGGGTTGAGTGTCACGACGCCACGCTGCCAAACACACCAAGCATGAGCAGCCTTTAAAACTTCTTTGCCTGCTTCCTTGCAGATATTATGATTCCGTTATTGTCTTTTAAATAAAGCAGCACGTTCATAATAAAGGTTTTTTCCTGGGTTAGATCGCGAAAGTATAAATGCGTCATTAACCCGCCACTTCCCGACGCAGCTAATTATTATGGTTTGTTACGTAACCAAACGTGCCAATTAGTTACTATTTCAGCGCACTACTATGTTGGAGAGTAAATCCACTACATCCAGCATCATTGGGCGATTTTTTTGCCAGGTTTTGCCAATTTGGGCATAATCGCCCGATGATGCTGGATGCAATTACCAGTGAAGTGTCGTACTCAAATTGTAAATGTTGTAGATTTACTCTCCAACACACCAGTGGGCTGAAGTAGTAACTAACTGGCGCGTTTTGTTTACGTGACAAACCTTACTAATTGGCTGTGTCGGGTGGTGGCGTGTTAACGACACATTTATACTCACGCAATCTAACCCAAAAACTCTTATTATGAATAATATTGGTCGCGAAAGCCTACTTCGTGCCAAAGCAGCATCTGACTGTAAGCCAACTGATACCCTCACTGAACTGCTGCCTTCAACAACAAATTATTCGTAGCGCCTACATTGGGGAGCACTTTAAATTAACACCATCTTGCACCGCTGATGGTTTTGCTGCCATAATGTGCAAACAAATACCATTAGGTGCACAAATCCCGCATCACACCACTACCACTCTAGCAGCCTGGAATGTGTTACGTGCATATTTATTTATACTTCATGTATTTGTTTGTCCATATGATTTAAATTGTATTGTGTTGTGCGCTATGCACACATTGCCTCAGTGTTAATCGATGCAGTGATCAAATGTCATTGTTATTAATGAGCAAAGTGATAAAGGCATTGAACTAACACAGATGCATATTGCGTGCTGCCAGCTTGAATATTCCTCCTGCGGTGAATATTTTATGGAGCACACATACAAGATGATACCGTCTGTGTCAGTTAAATTTTTAGATCTTTCGGTAAATGTGCAACAACGAAAGCACCACATTGCTTGCATAGAAAAATAAATGTTATCCTTCCTTGACTAAACATAGCATACTTGCCGATTTTATATTTGGTATAAGTTTACACATGGGTACTTGCAAGTTCAGTGTGGTTTTGCAAGATGATGATAATTAATGCAAGTACATCGTTACGTATTTTTGTTGGAAATAACGTATTATAATTGCCATTGTTGTTTTGATGGCAGAGGCGGAAAAAAGCCAAAAGGGAAGAAACCCTTCTGGAGAGAATGGATGGAAATTTATAGACGTCGTGAGCAACCGAAACGTGAAGCTAATCGAACGGGTAATCATCCCCGTAAGACAACATCCAAAGGTAAATTGTTCACAATCACTGCATTTTAGCTGTGCCATTGATTGCCGTACTATTTTATCACAAAGTCAAATGGTGTAATTTAAAGCATTTTTTTTCTTTCATCATAACGACTGCAAATGATAAATTGTAATCATAAACAAGCACGCTGCATTATTCCAACATTTATTTTGAAATAATGCATTGTTCTTCTTTTCCCCTTGCAGTTTAATTTTATTGGCAAGCTGTTGGGCCCAAGAGGGAATTCTCTAAAGAGGCTTAAGGAAGAAACTGGGACAAAACTGTCAATCCTTGGTAAAGGCTCCATGCGAGACAGAGACAAGGTGGGTAACATGACTTTTTAGTTGTAAGTAACCTGACACATTTCACTATAAATGTACCAATACTGTTTACATTTCAAGCACACTTTAACTTGTGGTGTGTGTGTGTGTGTGCATTCAAGCGTTTTTGAGATGGGGGTCGTTGGTTGATCGTGAAAACGTAACAATTTGCATGAGACACTCACCAATCGAGCCATGAGGTGGCCAGTAAATGACATTGCAGAACATAGCTTGCTCATCACTACATCTTTGAGGGTCATCATCTCGTGGGTGGAATTCTTGTTGTGCAAAAGTGAAAACACTCGATATGGAAATCACCACACATCTTAAGCCAAAGTCTCTTAAAATAGTCTCAAGACTGAATGCACAGGACTTCGGGTGGGTAGGAGATGGCAGAACAGTAGAGCAGGTGGGTTAATTAAGCCATATGTGTGGACTTTTCACTGTCATTCGAGCATATGCATGGGTTTTCTCTGGATACTCTGGTTTCCTCCTGTATAGATGAAGCCCTACCAATTAAATGGCAAAGTATCCAAATTTATAGAAATTCATAGACGTCTTGAGCAACATAAATGTGAAGCTATTCAAATAGGTAATCATCCCCAAAAGACAACATCCAAAGGTAAACTATTCACAATTACTGCAGTTTAATCTTGATTGTCAGTAAGACTTTCCTGGATAAATGAGTTTCATACAACACAACAGTCTCAATCGTAAATGTAAAAAAAGTATTGACATTCTAATGTCAGTAAAATTTTGAAGTATATTCCTTACCAATTGCAAAATTAAAGTGCACTTATATTCGAGTTAACTACAATATATTCCAAAATCATGTTAAATATACAATAGATAATATCAAGTTGCAAAAAATACACTCACCAAACAAACATGGAATTCCTGGATAAATTTCCATGTTACTTGAATAAAGTGTAAATAGAGTTTAGTCATGTAGTATATTGTTATTATAAGAATGTTGGACTTCTTTTGCACCGTACGTTACCAACCGTGCTAATCAGTGGTGCGGGGGAAGGACAACAAACCAAACATAATAAGCAGTTTAAAAAAATGCTTTTTCAATTTAGATTTAAAAGTGCATAGCTCCAGTGGCTTCCTAACATCGGAAGGAAGAGCATTCCAGACAGCTGCAGAAGAGCATCTGAAAGCAGTGACCGTCTTTGTTCGATGGCTAGCCAAAAGTTGCTGTGAGAATGACCAGAGAGATAAGCAAGATATTATGGTTTATTTGTGGCAAGAACTTTGTGTAATGAGTGCAACCTTATAATGTATTCGTTCGGCAACTGGAAGGCAATGCAGCTCACCGAGCACTCGGCAGACTCGGTCGGATCTTGTACTCCACACACTTAAGACATCTTTGGCCACAACAGATGCAGGTCTATTAAAAGGCATTGCATACCTAATAAATAAGATAACGTCATGCTTTCAATTAGTTTATATGACTCTATAGTCTGTTCAAATTAACATATCAACTCTTCAGGGTTTGTAAAATAAGTATCACCTAATCAGCCTTCGCCACTCGGTGGGCAGTCATGAGTGGTTGTTCAGAGGGAAGTATTAGTTTTGGTATAGGAATGCGGAATTTCTTTGACAGACTTAAGTCCAACAACAGAGCTGAGCGATGTGGAAATCTCCAATTAGCACGGTTGGCTACGTACAGTGCAAAATAAGTTCAACATACATGCATACATGCAAATTGTTGTATGGCTGATGTTGATGTAGAGCAATGTTTTACATTGAAGTGATGTGTCAGGAGTAGCAGAGTGCATTGCTGTGATGGCCCCTTCGTAATGTTCACATATGTTCCATGACCTGTTCTCGTTGACCACAGTCACACACTGTGGGAGAGTTTTCATTTTCCATTTGTGCATCAAGTTATCCACATCTGCCATGGTTTGTGCACTGGATAAGTTTAGGGTTGCCGCCCATTAGCTTCATGGAAGATCGAAGCCGGAGATCTTCTGCATCAAGTCTCTTCTGAGGTGTTTGTTAGTGAGTTTTTGTGAACTCCAATTGGCCTTCCAAGCATCATCGGCTTTAAAGTTGCATTGTTATAGGTTAAGCTCATGGCTCCAAAAGGAATGCGTGTTAGACAATAGAATACCTGCGACGTTTTGGTCGACATACAGTAATTATTTTGGGTAGATGACTCACTCCTTCATTCTTATATCTTACATAAAACAACGACCTTTTGATAGGATTTCAGAAAGTGATTGCTATGGAGAGAATGGAGACTATTACGGGACAGCAGAATTGACACCATTGGTACAGGATTGTCAACAAACGTGAGCACTGCACGACACTTGTATCAGCGTGGAGAAACTTTCAACTTGAGTTTATTGATGATTAAAAAAATATACGGCTTAATTTTTTTTAATCCGTCACTGCATTACAAATACGTTAAAGTAAAAGATATGTTTCCACATTCATGCTTCATGTATGAACAACTCTTGGGAGGTATCCTATGCACACACTTCTTATGCCCTATTGGAGGACAATATTTCTGCTACTGGTGGAAAGGGCACTGGCAACATCATCAATTCTGACCCTAGTGACCCATATATGTACCTCCATTTCTGGGATAGGAGAGGGCACTCTGTTGGACTGATGAATGAACAGCCACTCTGACACCATCACCGCAGGATTTTCACTGCTGTGAGATTGAATAAAATGAAAGCATAGATTTCTAAGCAACCAGTGGTGACCCTGGCTGGGTGCTGTATCAAAACCGAGCACATGTGGAACCCCCTCTGGACACGAACACAGCGAAACTTCGCTTCCAAGAAACCACGGAAAGCTTCACTTCACAAGTGTTCCTCAGTTTACTTTGATTAAATTTGTGTTTGGAGTTGAAAATATCTGGAAAGTATGAAGCTGCAACTCATGTGAGTGCCACTGTATTAAAATACTTAATAAAATGCCGAAGGAAAGATGTTAATGAAAACAAATCTCCACATGGGGATGCTGAATATATATAAAAATAAGCGGTGTTAAAATGTAGTTCAAGCTATTTAACCTTCATTATTAAACAATTTTAATAAGAATGCATGTGTAGTGAGTTAAACTGAGTCGCAGACGTACTCTTTGGAGGCAACACATTTATTAATACCAACACAAAGGAGTAACTGCCCCTTAACCAGATAACAACCTATGGTGGTGGACCAAACAGGCTTACTGCACTAATTACACGGTAACTAGCTAGAACAGACCGGACCACAGCTTGGGTCCAGGTCCACGTTTTGGAGACTCTGTAGTACGTAGAACGTAGAACGTAGATGAACAACAGCAGCCGGTCCCTCTCGGGGACCCAGCTTATATCCTCTGTGGCGTGGCTGGCTTCGCCCTTAGCCACGACCACCTTCTAGAATCCTCAAGCAGGATCTCGACCCTGACACGTGACCACCCCTAGCCCCCACCTGGGGGCCCTGTGTACACTTTACAGGTTACGTGTCCTTCGGGGTCAACCAGAGTGCCATGGCCCCTAGTAACCCTATTCCCATGGCCGGCACTCGCACACCCTATCCTATCGGGGTCGGCACTGCACGCAGAGCGTGGTGCCATCCAGCACTGCCAGTCAGCGCTCACCGAGCCCCTCCAAGGCCGGTACTGCACCCACATATACGTGGTGCCCACGATGTCAATACATCCCACGCCGTGCCTCTCTATGGCCGGCATTACACAGTGACATCCGCGATGTCACTACACATGTATTCTGAGTTGGTATACTCGGGAGTCATGGGCCAGCCACCACGAGTTGCCCCAAGATAAACCATGGAATATTCAATGATTCTTGGAATTTTGTGAAAACACCAATAATCAAATGACATAACTTAGGAAAATCGTCAATAATTTTTAAGAATATGAGTAGAAACGCCTCAAGCGGTTTTACATGGCTGCCATGTTACTTAGTTTGCCCTGAGGCTTACACTGAGGCTCATACAGAGTATCACGGCATGGTTACATTAGTACCCTAGGAAACCCAGCCACCTCATTAAGGGTTTATTTTCAATAGCGATTTCCATTTCTTCTCCCATTTTTTACGTGCTCACTAAACTGCAGGAAATGTCTGCAAAAATGTTTTCAATTAAAATTATTGTTTGCAACACCAACCTATTTTTTGCTTTGTGCTTTATGCAGTGAAAAAGCTAACACGGAACGTGGCTTTGCTTAATTTGATAATCAATTAATGCATTGAAATATTGCACCCTGTAGGAGGAAGATCTGCGAAAAAGCGGCGAAGCCAAGTATGCGCATTTGAATGAGGATCTGCACGTACTAATTGAGGTGTTTGCACCACCGTCACAAGCCTACAGACGAATGGGTCACGCTCTCGACGAAGTAAAAAAATATCTTGTTCCCGTAAGTGTCATGCACACCACAATGTTGGGTCCATTTTTAAGTGAGAATATTTTGACGTCTTGTGAAAACATGAGATAATGCAATTTACAAAAAGAGTGGCAAAAATAATTTTACACGAAGTTATTTATTCAGGAATTCTGGATTTCAATTTAGAAACGTAGAATAACCATAAAATGTTTGTTTTTAAAATGCATATTAATTTTTAAAGCATGGAAATAACGTGTGTGAAATTGAGATGGCTGGGTTGTCCGAAGAGGGCTGATACTTTGTGTGAGTACTAAGCCGGCACATCTGAGATATGTGGTACGAATGTGGGCAGCCACCTATGGTTAAACCAGGTTTTCAAATACACAATGTGTCGCATATAAATGCACAAAGAAGTCATCAAATTAAAGTGAGTTTCAATTTAATTAGTTTTTTTTTTCCAGCTTTGATGACTAAAACTATTTTCGGTTTGATTGTTATGAACAAAACAGTAACAATGTCTCTCGTGTAGATAAGTGGCGATCCAATATGATGTCAGCAGCAGTTTTGTCGCTTTTCCTTATAAAAGCCATTGCCTAACATAGTTAACACGTTTTTTTTGCGTGAAATAACGCATTGCTGCATAAGCAGAATTAATAAATAAAAATTTCAACATATTTGTAAATATAACTGACCTAAATAAAGAGAGATCTGTCTGCTATGAAGATGGGCCATTGCTCATAATGTCACCTATTATAAGTTGTTGTTGACGAATGTGTTTTTGATCCTCTGTATCATGGGGTGGTGCACTGGTTTTGAATATGAAAATGTTTCATCTCGTGACTCTGATAACATAATTGGAATATAATTGCGTGGAAAAAAACCGTGATTAAATTTTATTTTTTGTGCAAAATAGGGCCATTAATATGGCACTCCTCAAACACGCTGGTTTGCTGTGATAATTTCATAAACATTATAGATCAAAGGGAATATTAATTTTTCATATAGAAAATAAGGAATTATACTAACAATGAAATAGACAATGTCAGTATAATAATTATAATCTTATCAGCCACTGTTTATCCACTGCTGGATGAAGAACTCCTCATGTCCTGCGATGCCATGATCCATCTCATGTCAGCAAATTAACTTTTGCCATCACTCTTCCTTTCAGTCACATAGTCCCCTTTGGCTGCCATTCTCTCACCAGTCTCATCTATCGGCCATTATCTTTTCTCGTAATGTGTCCTGCCCAGGTCCACTTAGTGTTCTCAGCAGTCAATGTGATGTTTCTGATTTTTTTTATTCTTCTTTGATCCATGTGCTCCTCATGCCCGCCTACCAGCGTGTATATGTGTGCAAATGTGTGAATACAGTACGTGTGTACAGTGCATAGATACACACGGAGAGTGGTGGCGCCGCAATGGTTATCTTGCTGCACTCCAAATCTTGCTGCACTCCAAATCTGGCAATCCGAGTTCGACTTCCCCGTCATGACCAACACCAATGATGATTATCTGAACCAGTCCTGGGTCTCCTCTAGGTCGACTCGGCCATAATAATAGTTTCTGGTGCAATGTGTAAACATCACCACTCGAGAGACAAAGGTGGCCAGGCATGGTGCTGGCCACCCACCCCCTTGTGTGCTGTGCTGGCCTTTATAGGTGCTCGCTAACAGCACTTGCCTTAACAATCTGTTTAGACTATATGGGGGCCCCTTTTGTTTTGTCTTTGTATTTGGTGTATAATTGTTTGCATGTGCATATGTGTATGCGTGTATATGATACCATCAATCGGCCAGGACTCAGCTGTTCTTCGTGCTTTCAGAGTTCCTGACTTTTTGCTCACAATCATTAAGGGTCTTCATGATGGTGGGCAGTTCTGGGTAATTCTACGTGGCCAGGAGTCAGAGCCCTTCCCTGTTAACGTTGGGGTGCGACAGCAATGTACTCTGGCTCCATATTGGTCAACCGTGGTATGTATGCTGATGATCTGGTGATTGCTGCTCGCTCAGAGAATGAGTGGGAGGCACCGCTGCTACACCTGGAGCGTGCCACTAAGACGTGGTGGGGCCTTACCATCAGCCCCACCCAAACTAAGCACCTGCCTGGATTTTTGTGCCATCAAACACTCCAACCCCTGAACTCCCCATTGGGGAAGTTTTGGAGAGAGTGGAGAGTTTTCTATACCTGGACACTGCTTATGACCAGCTCCCGATTGAAAGCAGATTTCTCACTCTGAATCAGTCTGGCAGCATTATCTTTTCATTGGCTTTGTAGGTTAGCTGGTTTCTCGCTGCACATGAAGCTTCGGGTCTTCTCGGCCACAGTCATGCCCTCCCTCCTCTATGCTTGCGAAACGTGGGCCCCTCAAATGGAACATCTGCGCCGGGTTATAAATATCAGGCTTGCCTGCCTATGATCCATCCTGGGTTTAACCAGGCTAGATTGTGTGAGCTCACACATGCTTGAAAGATCTGGACACATTCCCATCAGTAAGCTCCTCTGGCAGGCAAGGCTGCATTGGTTGGGTCACGTAACCTGCATGCCCAGCCCTCGCATGCCCAAGCTGATTCTGTTTGGCCAGATATAGGGGAGAAAACGGGCACTACACGGGCTTAAAAATAGATGGACTGATGCAGTACAGGAGGAAGTGCAGCTAAGTGAACTTGCCGAAGACTGGTACCAGGGGTGTCAAGATCAGCCTCTATAGAAGAGGCATGTGAAGGATTCTACTAGGCAGTTGGAGGTAATTGCCCTCTAACAGCAATGGAGGGTACAGGAGCCAAGCTCACAACAATGAGCAGAGCAACTGGGAATCTAAAATGCAGCAAGTTTTCACAGTGGGGGGCACAGGTGGTGCATCTATGAATTATTTCAGTCAGTCAACCCGTAGCACCTGGGTCTGTCAGCGAACCTTCGAAATGTCACGTGGTCTCGGAGTCCACCTCCCCTGGCACATGCGCCGTCATGACGTCACCGCCACTTGGTGGTGAATGGCGGCTGCTATTGTCGTATATGTTTGTATTATGCAAGTGTTTACATAATTATCTATGGGCTCCGTCTCAACGTGTGTGTGTATGAGGGTATGCACATGTGTGCATTTGAGCTGCAAGTCGCAGACATGCCAGGAATTTGGCAGATCATGCCTCTGATGGGAATAGTTTATGTACGCCCTAGCTGCCCCCTTCTTTCCGCAGTGATCCTGGAAGGACTTTTCTATGCAGCGGTGGGAGGAATGGCTTGAGAAGCATGCACTGTTGTAATGACAATAGAGCCTGCATGCGGTGTGAGGGGACTAGTGGCCACGGGAGGTAATGACAGGGGTATCAGTTGTGAGGGCGAAGGGACTGGTGGCTACGGGAATGTTCGAGACGGGAGCCTGGTCAGATGACGGAAGAGGACGGTAAAGTCTGTCGTTAGAGCGAGCGTCCAGAGTCAGTGAGAATGATCGAGAAGGGGGACGTGGACTCGGTTGGTATATAAGGGAGATGAGTGGGAGACTCGGGCTGTTGCAGTGAGATCTCCACCTGATGTCAAATGAATATGTCTTCAATAAAGTGCCATCTCAAGAGAAGTGTGTCAAGTCATCTTTACAACTGTGGGTCAGAAGTGGGGTGTCATCATGACGTGGCATGGTCGCAAGGAGAACTCACTGACGACGACTTCGGACGGGGAGGAGACCCCCATGCAGCAAGCACCGGGTGGCGGGGGTGAAAAACCCTCCCGGTGAAGAGGGAGGGGCGGCGGTAATGAGGAGAGCGGGGGCCGGCCGACAGCTCACCATGCAGCTTGCTGCGGCTGCGGCAAGAGGAGTGGCAGAGAGCACGGTGGGAGTCCCCGCGTTGGAAACCGCTCAACAGATGGCCGCCATTTCGTGAGTTGGCAAAATGGTGGCCGAGGCGGCTGCAGTTCTGGCGGCACGGGTAAGAGCAACTGACCGGCCGCGGTGGATGACGCCCGTAAAATAATTTGTAGCAGCGGGAGGCAACTGGTGCACCTTCACCCGAAGGTTGGAGGCAGCGTATCAAGCCAACGGATGGTCAGAAGAGGAAGCACTGAGAGCCCTGCCTACCGCCCTTGACGACGACGCCCTTGCAGTGTTCCAAGCTGTGCCGGAGGAGCGAAGGGCTATGCTACAAAAGGCGTATGGTGAAATGGCGGCCGTGTTCGATCCCCCATCGAATACGCGGAGGAAGTTAGTGCAGCAAAAGCGGTGGGAGGCATGATGGGATGAACCGGCGGCCTTGTGTGGTGGCATGGTCGGGTGATCCGATGTCGGCCTCGACAGTAAGGTCAGCAGGGAGTGCGGGGACATCAATGAAGGAGGGTCTGGAGTTGGGGGAGGAGGTGACGGTGGAGGTACACGGGTGGGCTCGACGCCGGGGGAAGACTTTTCTATGGCCTCAAGGTTGGAGACCAAGGGGGGAGGTAACTGCTCCGCAGCGAGGGCCTGCCATCGCCTGCTTCAGGTGCGGTCGGCCGGGGCACATCATGCCGGGATGTCAGAGCGACGCCTGCACAGCGGCGTCGTCAGCATCTGTCTTCCCACCAGCGGCCACTCCATAACGGCGGCAGATAAGTTGCGACACCACAGACCTCTGGCCCGAAACGTCACCTCACACATCTAGGCAGTTGTGTCCCCCGGGCCCCATTATCACCTTGCATCCTTCGTCGGTTGTTTCGGTTGTGTCGGTCACGGGTGAGTGACAGGTTTCGAAGGATTGGGGGGATTGCGGTGACAGGTCCTGTTGTGATTTCATAAACGCGGGGTATCCCATGCTTGTTGGACACCGACTTTTCGAATCGAATGCCCTCGGAAATTGACGGATCAGATGTGTAAAGAGATGTTGTCGGGGCAGCAGTTATTTTTTTGGGATCTTATTGGAAGGGAGGCGGGTGCAACGTCAGGATTCAGGTCTTGGTGAGGGGGTCGGTAGAGATCCCGCCGGGAAAACAGATGTTGGTTCCCTCGCGGTACCGCAGCAGTTACATTCGGCCGACCCAGATGCGGTGGTTCTCCTGATGCCGTCCAACAGTGTGGCCCGTGAGCTTACGCTGGCGGGTGCACAGACGATCCTAAGAGTGGGCCAAGAGCCACTCCTGCAAGTGTTGAATGTGGGTGGAAGGACAGGTGTGGTTCCAGCGGCTTACTGTATTGGCCCATGTGAGCCCACGTGTTGCGAGGCAGTGGCGATAGATATCGCAGAAGCGATGGAGGTGAGAGCCCGCGTGTTGCGGGGCAGTGGCAACAGATATCGCGGAAGCGATGGGGGAGAGAGCTGGGTCAGATGAAACGTGGGTGGAAGCCCTTGTAACGGCAATCATGATTTGCCTAAGGCACAACGGGCCAAATTTAAGTCGTTGTTGCTGCAATTTCAGATGTTTTCAGTAAAAGCAAGTGCGACATCGGTCGTACTTCTCTATTGCTGCACCATATTGATACGGGAGACACAGCGCTGTTTGCCAGAACTCATATCGGATGAGTCTGGTGGAGAAGGAACATGCAAACAGGTGGTGGCTGATGCATGCCGTGTAAGCATGTGGACGATTTGTTGGGCGCGTTGTCGAGTGCTAGTTTATATATTTTTCCTTCTCTGATGTGCGAGCGGGAGCACGGGCCCCCATACAGTTTAACTGGGTGCGGCTTCGAAGAAATGAATGCGGGACATAACCGTGCCGTGGCAGATTGCGTCCGGGCGAGTGTCGGTGACAGAGCGTGGCTGCGTTTTACGTATGTGCCGCTGCGGATATCACCTAAGTAGCACAACCGTAGTGGAGACCGGTCGAGATTGTGGAAGTGAATCGGTTTTTGTGCATGAGAGTATAGGTGGGGTGTCACCGTTGGATTGTCCACCATCGCGTCTCAAACCATATGTCCGTCCCCGCCCAGACATCTCATCTCCATGTCCAGAGTGGCCAAGGTCTGGTGTGTCTGAAATGCCAGGGTAGTCGTCCGGGATGGTTGTGCAGCCCGGGAGATGTGTTGTGCCGCCCACAGAATGCGACCCTCTGATTCTCAGAGGTCCACAGGACTCGGCCACGTGCGATGGACCGGCATCAGGGGCCCAGTCAAGAGCTTAGCGGCTGCGATTGCGGCTCTCCAAGCCACGAGGTGGACTGTCAACTCCCAAGGCCAACTGTTTTTTTTTGTGTGTACCCCGGTGCGGTTGCTGTTGTTCGCGTGGGGTGGCTTGCACCACTCAGTCATCATGTTGTGTTGTTGTTGGTTTCTGTGGTCGAGTGACGGGTTATTTTCCATGCGGCTGTGGCTTTTCATTCTGCCCTAATATGTTTGTCTTTTTTAAGTCTTGGTATTAGAAGGGGGGGGGGGGGGGTTGTAATGACAATAGAACCTGCATGCTGTGTGAGGGGACTAGTGGCCATGGGAGGTAATGTTAGGGAAGTCAGCCTACAGTACGAATGCACTAGCGGCCACGGGAGGTAATGACAGGGGTATCAGTTGTGAGTGCGAAGGTACTGGTGGCTACAGGAATGTTCGAGAAGGTAGCATGGTCAGGTGACGGAAGAGGACGGTAGAGTCTGCCGGTAGAGCGAGCGTCCAGAGTCGGCGAGAATGATCGAGAAGGGGGGCGTGGCCTCGGTTGAAATATAAGGGAGATGCGCGGGAGTCTCTGGGCTATTGCAGTGGGATCTCCGCCTGATGTCAAGTGAACGTGTCTTAAATAAAGTACCATCTCAAAAGAAGTGTGTCAAGTCATTACACACGCAAAACGCTGCAGGCACTCACAGCACCCACTCCTCTGCCACCCACCTGTGCCTTGGCCGTGCTCACGCTGCCCGCTCACCCGCCATTTAAGGCGGGGTGGCATTAATCCCCTTGCAGTGGGACCAGGCCGTAATAAGCCGCAAACCCGTCACTGACAAATAGAAAAGTGGTGTGAAGTGCACAAAATTTCAGGCCAGGTGTCAACTGTGTGACAGCTGTGAAATTTAACAGATGGAAGGAGGCCGGGCTGAAGGGTGATGGCATCACTGCCATCAGCCTTGATTACGTTGTGATGTATCTGGTAAATGAGGCAGGGTTGGTACATCGCGTAGAGATGATCCCTGCATCACACCCATACAGCGACACACTCATAGCAAAGACCGTGTGTTTTCTGAAAAACTTGCGAAGGTTTCAGTGTTGTCCACCTTATGCGTGGGATTTATTTTGGGTGCTCCAAATTCCCAAAGGAACAAAATGATTAACGACCAAGGTGTTGTCGAAACATCACAAAAAGATCAGCTGTGCTACTTGGTGATATATTTCCACATTAACAAATAATTATATATATTTTTAAGTGCATGCAGACCGCAAAACGAGAGTGAGGTTAACAAGTCAGGCTGATGACTGATGCTGCACATCATGTTAAAGACTGACATGCCTGAAGGCTATCTTGAGATTTAGCCCGCTCGTCTTTGAGCAATGCTGCTACGCTGCATTTTTTTAAGTTAAAAGCAACAATGGGCCACATTCCACTATCGGACATTATTTTGAAATGAAAAACAACTTAATAAACTATGTGAAATTATGAAAACATATAAAGTAATAAAACTTGATATAATTGTGTATATGCAGTTTTGAAAAAAAACCTAATGGCTGTATAGCTAACCAGGCAGCATTTCTCTTTCTCAGCATGAATTTAATTTCCTGATAATGTATTTTTCCCACTCTAAGGAAATGGCTGACACTGCAAAAACAAAGTGTTGTGTGTAGTATATATATTTTAAATTAGAGCACTGAACTACGAATTTATTTTGTGTGAATAAAAAGTGACCACATTCTAATTTAGTTACTTGATTAAATGGACGCCAACATTACATGTATATTAAATGGTTATACAATCGTAACCATTTTTATAAACAATAGCCTGCTCGATTTTGGAATTTATTTCCCTCATCTTTTTTCCCAAGCTCGTATAGCCTTGCTCAATTCAATGCATTTATTCCTTATCCATTACTACTGGCCGCTGTGATAATTATATATAAATACGTAATAATATATATCAATAATACATATATAATGGTAATACACATATATGACTATTGGCCGATGTATTACATATTTAAATATATATTTCAATTATCTATATAAATACAGTAAAAAATATACAATGCTGTCTTCGTGGCCTCCACAGGACTACAATGACGAGATCAGACAGCAACAGCTCCGTGAACTCAGCTTCCTCAAAGGAGAGGACGATGCTGAGGTGGGGATTGGGGTCCACGGGAGAGGCGGCCACGCCAGGGGCCATGCCCCAGTGCCTCTGCCTCCCATCCGTCCGCTCCCATCGCTGCAGCATGCCCTTGCCAGGTACCGAGTGTGCACGGATAATTGAGCTTCCACGGTTGACATCATAGATACTAGGGCAGTGCTGCCCTAAATCCCAGGCTTCACTTGTCTCCTCTCCACTGGCTTTTCCCACTTCTTCCGTTTCTCTCCAGCAGCAAGTGTGTGTCATGCCTTTTTTTCTCTCATATCAATTGTGTGTGAATGGAGACAACTGGTACACATTGAATCCTCAGGCGGTGTCATTGTCAAACAAAGCATGCACCTATTAATACTCTTTATACTGTCGTTAAATTGCATATATAAATGTATACGTGCGTATGTATGTTTCATTTGCAGGTAAGTTATTAGTCAATGGTATACAATACAATTAACACTCTTGATGGTGTGAAATTGAAAATACAGTAGTAAAACTGGATTAACCTAAGCAGACTATGCTGCTATGCATTGAATTAATGCAGCTGTGCATTCAGACAACCGGAGGGTAGAAGCCATTGTCTCTTTGCCAAAGGAAGACCTGAAAACAGGAGGGACCTTTTAGCTGAGGCTAGGTCATTCTTAGCAGTGTCTGTGGGACGGGATTCTTTTGTAATTGATGACATTCGTCTCACCCCCGTGGAAAGACGGTGACCTGCGACCTAGAAAGATTGGCTGTCCGTTTTACATGCCATTGCATAGAATGCTGAGATATAGGAGCACAGTAGATAGGCCCTTAGCAAATTGCACGCTGATGCATGAAAGTGATAACCACAATTGCACACATGTGCTCACTGTGAATGTCAATGCATAGGAAGGCAATGCCTACCAAACACATTTCCTGTGCAATTAGCTATGCCGGTAATGCTAGGATATAGTCCATTAGTTAATTGATTATTTTCGGTTTGCCTACTGTTTGATTTCACCCAATGCATCTGTGTCACCTTGTTAGTGCACGTGTATGCCATGCAGCATTGTGACAAAATAACAATTGCTACACGTCGACATTGTTAAATTGAGTACGTTGACTGCGCCATCCACAAGATCTAAAATCATCGCCGTCACTGCCATTAATATTTAACATAAATCAAAATGGGGTGCGGTTGAGGCACGCTCTCAATCCGGTGTCTTGGAGGTAGTTGTTAGTGGATCACGTAACGATTGAATCCATGGTCTCATGCCAAGATGAAGTGGTGTGCAACACATTCACATTCTGGGCAATAACAAACCTACCAGGGCAGGACAGCGAGTATGTTTCTGTGCAGCTTCATTGTTTTTTCTCTCTTGTAGTTGTGGACTTTTTCTAGGAATTTGTGGTTTCTCTCACACACGCGCACATATTTTGGAAGGAATTGGACTTCCAGGCCAAGCATGAGGCTCGTAATACGTGTTAGGAGATTCAGCGAGGCTCTTAAAATTGGAAATTTCAAATTGTTACATTATTTTATTTTTTAGGTTTTCACACAGGACACTTGGATTGGATGTTAACAGGCAGACTCGATGGATGGCTTTATTTGAGAATTGGTGAAGAATGAAAAATGTTACCAAGTCAGAGATCTTACGGCAGAGGTCATTTGACCGGGATATTATGAGAATGAAGCTTCGCTTCGCTTCGCAAAACGCACCACGGGTTCTTGAATGCCCACGGGTTGAGCAGGACTTAAATTTTACATTCTGAAAGTTGGCACCTCCATTGAGCACGATACCACCTGGGCACCGTGCTGGAACGTGAGTTGATCGCTAGCTCAAAGGGACTACATTCCCCACTGAACGGTCTGTGTCCAATATAACTGCCTTTTACCCGGTAACTACCCGTCCAACTATTAACCAGGCCCCGATCCTGCTTAGCCACTGTGGAAGCGATGCCGCAGGTCGATGCGGCGATGCTGCGTTTCATTTCACATTGCATGTAGCCCTGTCTTAATGGTAGTTGCCGGGAAGGCTGACCTTTTTGAGACAAGTTCTCAACCTTGCAGACGCTGAAGGTGAGGAAGTCCTGCTTGCTGGGCTTGATCTTGGTTCATACTGCACGGTGGGCTTAGGCTGCACATTGGGCTCCCATTTCCAATTTTTGCACTTTGGCTGATGCTCACACGGTGGGCAGTGCTGCAGCGCATCCATGTTGTGAAAGGTCACCTTCCACAAATGCGCAGGGGGGATTATGAGAAGCAAATATTTTCACCGTACACCAGCGCCAGTCTAGTTTTGCTTATTCGTGGTCACGTGCTCCAAATCGAATTGTCAATGCGCTACATAATTGGCAATATGCATTTCATTTTCTCTCCATCGATTAATTGTTCATATATGTCGATATATCTACAGTGAGGGAAAAAAAGTATTTGATCCCCTGCTGATTTTGTACGTTTGCCCACTGACAAAGAAATGATCAATCTATAATTTTAATGGTAGGTTTATTTGAACAGTGAGAGACAGAATAACAACAACAAAATCCAGAAAAACGCATGTCAAAAATGTTATAAATTGATTGGCATTTTAATGAAGGAAATAAGTATTTGACCCCTCTGTAAAACATGACTTAGTACTTGGTGGCAACACCCTTGTTGGCAATCATAGAGGTCAGACGTTTCTTTTTAGTTGGCCACCAGGTTTGCACACATCTCAGGAGGGATTTTGTCCCACTCCTCTTTGCAGATCTTCTCCAAGTCATTAAGGTTTCGAGGCTGACGTTTGGCAATTCGAACCTTCAGCTCCCTCTACAGATTTTCTATGGGATTAAGGTCTAGAGACTGGCTAGGCCACTCCAGGACCTTAATGTGCTTCTTCTTGAGCCACTCCTTTGTTGCCTTGGTCGTGTGTTTTGAGTCATTGTCATGTTGGAATACCCATCCACGACCCATTTTCAATGCCCTGGTTGAGGGAAGGAGGTTCTCACCCAAGATTTGACGGTACATGGTGAAGTTGTCCTGTCCCCTGAGCAGAAAAACACCCCCAAAGCATAATGTTTCCACCTCCATGTTTGACGGTGGGGATGGTGTTCTTGGGGTCATAGGCAGCATTCCTCCTCCTCCAAACACGGTGAGTTGAGTTGATGCCATAGAGCTCCATTTTGGTTTCATCTGACCACAACACTTTCACCCAGTTTGTTCTCTGAATCATTCAGATGTTCATTGGCAAACTTCAGACGGGCATGTATATGTGCTTTCTTAAGCAAGGGGACCTTGCGCTGCAGGATTTCAGTCCTTCACGGCGTAGTGTGTTACCAATTGTTTTCTTGGTGACTATGGTCCCAGCTGCCTTGAGATCATTGACAAGATCCTCCCGTGTAGTTCTGGGCTGATTCCTCACCGTTCTCATGATCATTGCAACTTCACGAGGTGAGATCTTGCATGGAGCCCCAGCCCGAGGGAGATTGACAGTTCTTTTGTGTTTCTTCCATTTGCGAATAATCACACCAACTGTTGTCACCTTCTCACCAAGCTACTTGGCAATGGTCTTGTAGCCCATTCCAGCCTTGTGTAGGTTTAGAATCTTGTCCCTGACATCCTTGGAGAGCTCTTTGGTCTTGGCCATGGTGGAGAGTTTGGAATCTGATTGATTACTTCTTTGGACAGGTGTCTTTTATACAGGTAACAAGCTGAGATTAGGAGCACTCCCTTTAAGAGTGTGCTCCTAATCTCAGCTCGTTACCTATATAAAAGACACCTGGGAGGCAGAAATCTTTCTGATTGAGACGGGGTCAAATACGTATTTCCCTCATTAAAATGCAAATCAATTTATAACATTTTGACATGCGTTTTTCTGGATTGTTGTTGTTATTCTGTCTCTCACTGTTCAAATAAACCTACCATTAAAATTATAGACTGATAATTTCTTTGCCAGTGGGCAAATGTACAAAATCAGCAGGGGATCAAATATTTTTTCCCTCACTGTATATATTTACATTTCCAAAAAGAACATTGAGTCAATATATAATGGGAAGAGTTCAACTTCCAAGTTTAAAATGAAATAATTCTAAAGCCCATGATCCATTTGAATTTAGCTAACTCAGTGTTCCCAGGTAAGAGTGCGGTGTAAGATTAAGGAGTTTTAACTACAACATTCAACTCACGTGAAATGTAAAAAAAAACGGAAAGTGGACGTAAAACTTTCATATCAACAGTCAGAAAAAATGTATTTAGAAAAATTTGAAATATTTTGGATTATGTATATCCATGCAGGGGAAATACTCTATAGTTTATTCTACTCAGAATCAGCATCTCGATATTCAAATGTGAACATACATAAATGTGGGTAATGCAGTCACTAACCCCAATGTACAGTAGATTTTCATTTATGTATTTGACAAAGTGGCCGATTCATATGATTTCAGATCTGTTCATGATTGAATCGTATTTTAGATATCTAAAGCAGGAAGCCTGCCTCTTTGTGTCATGTTATGTAATTGTATTTACACAAATGTTTCCTTATGAATATCCACGTGGCCAACTTTTCATTTCTTCAAATAATTAATCCTACTCTTTCAGGCCAGTAATTAGGTGAGCATACAAGGGGATAAACTCACACGTTACCCCCGGAAGAAGAAAGTGGTCTGTGTATTTCACTGGCGCCTATTTGACTTGCTGAATTTACAGAGGTAGTGTTACCATTAGAATGCAATTGGGCTTTTGTGGAAAGCTTTTAAAGCCAACTGCAACTCTGACACTTTACAGCAAGGACGAATGTGTTCAGAAGCGTGCTGAAGCATCTCGTGGTGAAGGGCATGGGGCTGGGATATAGAGCAGGGTCTTCAGGATTTTATCGGCAAGATTACATACTGCAGGGACACAGACGTAACATTCATAGTATTTTAAGTTCTGCCCTAGCCATGTAATAATACCAAGTCTTTCCACACTGACTTCTACGACAGTGATCTGCTGTATGACAAGTTATATTTTTTTCCGTAATAGAGGTTTTTGGGGTTAGATCGTGTAAATATAAATGTGTCGCTAAACCTACCACCACCCGATACAGCCAATTAGTAAGATTTATCATGTAAACAAAATATGCTAATTAGTTACTAGTTCAGCACACCGGTGTGTTGGAGAGTAATCCCACTACATTTACTTTTTTTCATCGACGTTTTTTAAAATATATAATCATCCAGGAGTCTAGGGATAGAAATATTTTGCTGAGGAAACATAATAAATGCAAGCAGCTTATTAAACAGTCTTGTAGAGTAAGCAAATGAAAAGGGTTGCAGCTGTGGCATGGTGGTCCGTGCACTGTACTGTAAACATCCTTGATGGAGGGCTTCATTTGAGAATTTGACTAGTATGAAAAATGTCACCAAGTCCAGCTGTGGTTAACAACAATGGCGAGTGATGACTGAAACACTCTTGTGCCTCCTCATTTACCAGCCCACAACACGGACTCATGTGGGAAAAATGCGGTTACACAATCCCCCTGACCAAATCGGTCTGTGGTTGTTTGGAGGCCGTCATTCAGCTTGGACTGACAGACGGCTGTAAAAAAAAAAACCTTAGAAAATAAACATTAAATAACTCAGACTAATACAATTGATGGATGTCAAACTTTTTTTTAATAGCATTTTCTGTTGTCCATTTTCAGTGGTTTGATGAACTCCACCATAGTGCGCAAGGGAACACTCATAGCTGCGCAAGTGCGTTTTGTTCTCCACGTCTCATTTCTTATGATCGTTTCTTTTCAAAGCGGCCGCGGGCTACATTCAGCGGTTCCCCAGAGAATGGCCGCCCCGCGGGGCCTCGCCCTGGCCCGGGCACTGGCACCCCCTCTCCCTGCCGGCAGGGGAGTCCCGGCACCTCAACGAATGCGGCCAGTGGCCGCGTACCGAGCGGCGCCGCCGCCTCTGCCGCCACCTCCACCGCCGCCCCCGCTGGCTGAGGAGGCCTACGAGGAGGACTACGTGAGTGCTTACAATCCTTGGGCTCCGTTTAATGCCATTGCTCCTTCATGGCTCCCGCTACGAAACCTTACACAGTCTGTTTGTTCTCCTGTAACGCTGCGTGTTGTTGTTTGCATAACGCGAATTGGATAGAACGCCATGAATTTATTGGGGAACGCATATTTTATAACGCGGATGCGAATTGGATATATATAACGCGATTGAGTGAAAGGAACTACGTCGCGCAAGTAGGAATAAGCAGTTTTACGGCTGCCTCGGTGTAGCGCCACATGAGGCGGGATGCTTTTGGATGCTTATGGATACTACCCACATGCCTCAGTCTTTGTTCAGCCTGCATACACATCTCATGTGTCATCACGGACTGTGCTTTACCCATTATTATATATTATAGAGCGATGTTTCCATAGCGCGGTGTTTTACAGGAACGCAACTACCAAGTTGTAGGTGACAGCGTGGATTTATTTCTCCCACTACCAGGAATCAACCCGTTTTTTTAGGTGATGAGGATAAAGTGCAAGAGGTTTCATGTGAAACAATAAACACTGCTTAAACCGTGTGACACAAAGGGAAAGCTCCTCGACCAGGTGACATAACCGTAATTAATCAAAGCAGCAGCATCCGGCAGATGCAACATAATTAGCGCAACTATTTACGAAATGTTAACCTAGAAATAAAATACCCAATCATTGAACGATGCCTCAATCATCCATAATAGAGATTTTGGGTTAGATCGTGTAAATATATAAATGTGGCGACACAGCCAACTAGTAAGGGTTGTCACGTAAACAGAACATACCAATTTGTCACTAGTACACCACACCGGTGTGTTGGAGAGCCAAGCCACAACATTTACAAACTGAGTACGGCGTTTTGCCAGTAATTACAACTAGCTTCATCAGGCGACAGCTGTCACCTGATGAAGCTAGTTGTAATTACTGTCGCTTAATGAAGCTTGTGCTATCTTGATGGAGTTTATTGGCCACACACTCTCAAGAGTCTGATTATGGCCATGTCTCCAAGTTTGTGCGTTACATACGTGCACCATAATCCTCAGGGTGGCACATGAGGCAAAGCCTTGCCATCACATCGGGTGGTTGAGGTGAAGTTAGTTGTGGAGCGTGGAAAGACATGAGCCTTCTGGACAATGCACAGAGTAATGCACAGCTTGTGCCGGCCATTATAAATTACACATCGACTGGGCAAGTATGTCGGAGGTTTGGATGTTTTTTGCCGTGTTTATTTGCCAGAGTGTACACTACGAAAAATGGAATGTGGCAGAGAGTGGATTTGCTACCTCCTGAATTCACATGCACTGCAAAGTAGAAGGCACAGTGATTAAGACCTTTCACTCTATGATCCTGGTCACCCAGTTTTAGATATTTTGGTGTTCACATCACCACCGGCAATTGGCACCTGAGCCTGGCCTGGGCCTTTCTTACATTATTGCAGTCTAAATGAATACCGAGTGCAACAGTGAGTCAGAGTTAGCACTGGAGGGAGAGAGAGAAAAGGCGGTGTTGTGTGGCGATAGTCACGTTGCTACAGAGGTTCGAGCCCTGCAGCTGCCCTGGTTATTCTATGGATGTGTTGAACAAAAATCCGTGTAGTCTGGTGGACAGTGGATGTTCAAGATCCCGTGATGTTATTTGAAAAAAATAGTGTAGGTTATGTGTGCCAGCATCACGGTCCAACCTTGCCAAATAAAAAAAAATACTCGTGAATTACTTAATTGGATAAAATCACGTAATAACATCGACCCCCTACTGACAGGCTATACCTATCTGTGCAATATAGCACCTTCATCATAGCCTCTGTTGGCTGTAATATTGGCACAAGTGTAGTGTCTAACTCGGAGACGTTAAGACTTGGAGGCACTTCTTTATTAGCAAGCACCATCGGGGTTAACACTCTTAATAATTAGTCCGTCTATTGTCGACAACGCTACTCAGACAGGGCAGTTGGTAGGCTGCCTGACTGGTGGCACCCCGAGATGGTGAAGACGGAGACGATGACAAGAAGAATGGTGAAGACGATGACGAGAAGAATGGTGAAGACGACGAGAAGAACGGTGACGAATACTTAGCAGCACGTCAGGGGTCCCACTCCAACAACAGCCTCGAGGTCCCCTACAGGGGCCCATCTTATACTGTCAGCATGGCTTCGCTCCGCCCCCGGCCAAGCCCCCTTTCTGGAACCTACACGCGGGTTCTTGGTGTGCCCTTTCTGTGCCTTTCCCCTAGATCCCCCTCTGGTGTATATCCTGGCCTGCTAATGTCAGGGCTGCCGTACGCCGCAGATCCGGTTTCCTGCCAGCAGCCAGCGCTATGCTAATACACTATGCCCCTACACAAGTACAATATGTTCAAAATGTGCTTACTTATTGATATTCTAGCTTAAAACAAGGTGCTCGCTAGGGTATCCACTGAACATTTATGACATCGAGCGGAAGTGTGACAGGGCACCCTTCTCACGTTCATGATGCTCAGAGTTCAAATCCCTGTTGGGTTGACTCAGCTCAGCATCCCTGCTGAGTCAATAAAATAAACACCAATTTTAGGCCAAATCAACACTGTAGTTGGTGTCCTGTGGGACAACTATCTGATATAGCAATTTGGAATTTATGCCTCCAAAGCTCGTTGAACTAAGAAGACACTGCCAACTTTTGACGGCACATATACACACATGAATGCGTGTGAGTGGGAGTCTACGTGGGTAAATATCCTTCGGCTGCTCATTACCACTTTCATGTTGTACGTAGGCACAAAAAATAACCACTATCATGAATTTGAAGGTATTTTTCTAAAGAATCAAGCCGATGGTCTCAACTCAGTCACCGATAACTGCGCACAAAAAAAGTCAGTTAATTTTATTTGTTCACTTGATTTGGTCGATCGCAGCTTGTGGTTATAGAATTTAATTGGATGAGGACACGTGTGGGGAGTCAGCTTTGAAGACTGTGAAAGAGCACCCTCTATCCAGTGTCGCAGTCAGGGAGACCTATTGCAATGACCACAGAATTACTTCTCCTGTGTCGTCTTGCAGGGCCACATTCCCTGGCACGACGTGATGTTCCATTGACCGGGGAAAGTCCAGAATGACGTTTCCACGCCTCGGGACACAACTCTGATGTGACAACTCAGAAAAAAAATTGGTAATACAATCTGAAAGGAATGTATTTTTAAGTTTTAAATAAAAGTAAAACCATACGGCACTACATATGTGCTGTGTATGATATCATTCACTGCGGCAAGTGAAGAAATGTGAAACACATTTCTTACATTGCTTCTGTTCACAGCTGCAAATGTGATAAGAGTAGTCAGGTTGTGTTTTGGTGTTAAAATTTTGGGACCAAAAAACATGTTTGGAGGCGAAGTGTGACTTATTTTAAATACCTCTCCCAGTTTGACTCTTAATTTTGTTGACATGATATATTTTATTTTGGGAACATTAGATTGCATCGGAGCGTGCACACGTCAGAGGGGACTTCGGTGGGTACGATCCCGGCAACCTCGGTTTGATTCCCTGCCTCGCGCATCCTTGATGAGTGACAATGTCTCAACTCGCTGTCAGATTTTTAACAAGTACTCGCCGTTGTGCATGAACATCAGCACTGGGAAGACCACGGAAGCGAAAGTGCAGTGTTGGGCACACCACCCCCCCATATCCCTGTACCATGTCAGCCTCAGTAGGTACTCACGAACGGTGCTATTTATCATTCAATACCACTGCATGGTGGTCAGTGTCTTTGTTGTGTGCTGGATAGAAATAAGTACCACGATTTTTTTTTTTATTTGCAAGATAAGCTCATAACACTGGGGAAATACGGGCCATCTACATGTACACGTTTGAAGACGAAACTTTTTATTAATATTCTATGCAGACTCTCACTTCTATGAAAGTCTTTATCGCTGCAACACATTTTAATTAGTTTGTTCCACCCCAGCGTGTTTGTTTTTATACTTATGGATTCTGTCACCACTTTAAGATGTAATTATCTTGCAATGTTAACATTTTTTTCGAATGAAAGTTGTTACAGTTACTTTGCAGCTGTAAATGAAAATGAGCTGCTGTTAATTTTCAAGAGATGTCGGTAAAATCAAGGAGTGGCTTGATACGTATATAATTCTAAAATATGAATAACTCAATAAATACAATTTTCAAAAGACTGTAATATAATCCCTTTTCTATGACAATGCTCTGCTGGATTTTAAAAATGTGCTCTGGTGGATTAAGTGATTTTCTTTAAGACCTCATGCATATATAACGAAAATGAAATGCCTCAGGCCAAATTATTCCAATAAGCTTGCAAAGCTTCAGTAATGTTTTGTATTTCTACAAAAAAATCTATCATAAAATTAATTGCACTATATAGTGGCCTAATGTGGGATCATATACCGTGCAGCTACCCAGAAGCCCCGTCTGAGTGCTGTGTGTGAGTCAGCTTCAAATCCCGTCTCAGCAGTACTGGTGGTCAGATAACCAGTTGTTTGAAATCGTACCCTGTAAAAATAATTGCATTCAGTATCAATACTTTAGAGCTCGGAAAGAACCACACGTGCAACAGCAGGCCAACACTTGTGTATGTGAACATACCTCCAGGATGTCAGTTGCACTTAAGAAAACATGAATCACTTTGAAATACACAGCAGTGTTAAGATGCACAGTGGTTTGATAGCGCATTTTAGAATTGTTGGAGATCTTGAGTACCTTTTTAGAATAACCAATTCCAAATTCATATCAGTGCTCTTGAAAATGTGTAGTGAGAATGTTATTAACTTTGTTGCATTGTCTAGAAAAATCTTCTTTAGATCACATCATGCCCATGTTGGCCTCCCTGCCCTGGTTTCTAGTTTCATGTCGGATTCAGTTTAAAATACTTTTGCTAACCTACACAGCTCTGAACCAGAACCAGAATCTGTATTTATCCTGGAGAAATCCAATGAGCTCTGAAGCTCTTTTTCACAAATGTCCAGTAGGGGCAGATCAGGAAGTTACCACAA